AGAACTATTATCCGCAGAAAATCGCATAGACCATTAGACTCATTCCCTGCCAGAGCAGAGACACCGTTAGGCTGCTTTTTTTCTGCCAGTTAATACTTTCTTCTTGCAGTATACCGTAAATCTATACATATATATTATATACACACACTACATTCTACCTACGAACGTAAATCGCATTAATACACACACGCACATATGATATATACAGCAGGTACCTACTACTCTCGACGACCGCTGCAGCAAATCAAAAGTTGAAGAAGTCGACCAATAGGAACATAATATTTTAGCGCCGTTTTTTCTCCCTAATATATTATATTAGATAGGTACCCTGCACTCTGCAGTGACGTTTGATTAGCCAAGTACCATGTATTCGTCGTTAACTCTTTTCGGGACATTACATCGTTGATGTCGATTCGAGTTTTTGCCTGATGGCTGCAGTGGGGAGGGAGAAAAAACCAAAATAAAATCAAAAAAAAAAAAAACACTTTCCTGAAAATAGAACCATTAATGCAATAATGCCTGAAGTTCTAAATCATGATAATGACTATGCAGTTTATCGAAAAATTAAGGAAGAGTTTATATAACTACGAGATTTATAAGTCATGTATACGACATTTTGTTAGAAGTGCAAACGAATGGATATAGTGCATAATATATTATATTGGTACATCTCGTTCTCACGTCATCCGAGAACCAATATACGTGGCAAGGTAGGGAAATAATATTATTACTGTTCGTCAGACGATCGCGAGGAAAACGTGCGAGAACGTATAAAGACGATCAATCAACGGACGACGGGCAGGACAAATGCACGTCTCCACAGCGCACGGTGGCAGATCGCGAGTGACCGACGCGCGACTCGTTGACACGTCGACCAATGTTTTCGTGTATACGTAATACTACAATGAGAATAATACGCGTAGGTACCTATTATCGTTATTACTTTTATTTGCATTTCGTACGCGCATTCTCCGACGATGACATGTGATGTATTACATAAACAAAATATATATATACTTTATACATTATACAATAGACAGAATAATAAAGGCGTGTATATTTTATTATTAGGTATACATTATATAATGTGTAACCAACAGTTAAAATGGATCTGAAGGCGTTATTGCCCGTTTGTCCGAGGGTAGTTTGTATGTATATAGGTTAGGTTATCTGCTGCACTTAGCGTGTGCTTCGTACACAATCGAAATATAGATTTTAAACATTAAATCAAATACAATTTTTTATTACTATAAAAATGACTGTTTCTCTTTGAAATACTGTACTTCAAGACAAGTATCATCCTGTAATCCGCAAACGTATGCGAATTAATAATAACAACCGTAACGTAAAAACCTATATTTTTTCCAAATATGATTTTGGAAAAACGTATCCGACATTCTGGCGGAACTGTTGTTGATGGATTTTTTTAGGTGATTTCAGGTGAAAATGGCAGAACGAATACCATATATTATATAGTATAAGTATTATTTACGGTCAACCAATTTTTTAGTCAGCCGCCCGGCCGCTGTTCCGATGTTCGGCCGACCGGTGGTTGACGCGCGCGATAGATGCTATCGCCGTCTCTTCCACTTGCTGAGCAAACATAATGATCTAAAACACGCGTCACGTCGTCGGATTTTTAGCGCAACAATGGAAGTCGACATTAAGTCAGAACGATCCCCATTCATCATCGTGCGTTTTTATTACGGCACATTGTAAATAAAAAGCTCTTTGTAGCTTTATAGGGAACTCGTAATATGTGACCTGCACAGATTTAAATGTTAGCACTATTTTCAAAAAAATCATCACGTCCATAATTCAAAAATCGAAAATATACTTTTTAATAAACATTTAAAATCTGAGGTTTTGTAATCGCAGTATTGTATTTTGTCAAGATAAACAAAACTTCAGCATTCGAAATGGTGATTATAACCATTATAATATAACTTATTTGTATATGCGGCTCTTGAACAAATTAAAGTGACTAGATTTTTTCTTTTTTTAATCTTGTAATATCAATTTTGTTTTTTCTGTTTTTAACTTGTTTCAATTAAAGGCTTCTAACTTTGTAAGTATCATACAAAACTACGTACCTGTTATATACCTCGCCAAACGCGGAAGTATAGAATTTTGTTTCATAAAACTTTTAAATCATGAGCAAAGAACAAAAAAAAATGTCGCGAGAACGAGTGTCTTACGTTAAAATCACTCTCGCGTACCGTATAATATATAATATAGGTACATATATTATATTATCGTATACATTGAATTTATACGCGAGTTTTTTACGGCCCCAGCGGCCCCGGGCACATGTACCGACATTGTGTTTGTCTAGGGGTCCGCGACGGTTTTATGCGACGTAACGACGTGCATCGCGTATATTACGAGTATATGTCGCGAGCGGGCGACGAGAGCGTCATAAACTGAAGCCGCCGCCAATATCGTCGCCGCGTATTCATTTATATGTATGATTTTATATAGGTACTGTCGTCACTTCCATCCGGCAACCGCCGCCATCCGATGTAAGTATACACGATTTTATTTATTTATTTTTTACTGCCCGTTAATAATATGTTATTATTATCATTTCGAGTTTTATATCGGACTTGTTCGTTCTAATATTACTATTGGTTTTTACTGCTCGCACCCTCTATGTGGATTTATCCTCATAATAATAATATATTATAGAATTATATACTCGAGCATAAAAAATAATTCAACACAGTCGAAATGGGAAACATAAGTATTTATCATTTAATATATAACATTGTACTGTCGGATTGCGCACATAATGGTGTCAAATACCAAGGCTTCATGCGATTAGGTAGCGATTTCGGCTAAGGTTGGTTAGGTTATCACGTTCGATACAAACGCAAGATCTAGATATATCTATTTAAGGGGTTTCATATAGGCAATTTTAATTAGATTTTATGGAAAAGTGTAGATTTAAATACTTATTTAAAATAACTTACCTGTGGTCTTGGTTGTCGACTAATTGCTGTACGAAACAATAGAGATAAATGATTATGCATGGAAAAGAGTTGAGATGATGCGAAGAGACTATGCTGTAATAAATAAGAAATACGATTTTCACCATAAAAAGTAGAACATTGACAGTGCAATAGATTTTTTATTTTATCGATATTATTTATAAGAAAAAAGTTTTTCAAGTTTGAAAAACATAAAAAAAAATATCGGATTTTAAAACTATATTATAACTTCTTTCGTATTATTAGTGATATAAAAAAATAAAATCAATTTAGTCAAAGTTCTTCTCTGATTATGATTGTCTAAATTTGGTTTGTTTGCTAGAGTTTCGCCTCTGTGGAGCAATTTTTATCAATCAATTTTATTATTAAAGGCATGTGGTGACGTCCTTTCCTAAATAAGTTACTCGAACGGCTAAACCCCGTCATTTACATGATAATATGTATATATCAGTACTTGAAGGGGGCGATGGGTGAATTGTCCTCCACTGTTATACGATTAGGTCTTGGTATTTTTTTATGAATTTATAATGGCATTTGTATTTTTTATTTTAGAAGGCTACTATCTTTAAAATTGTATACAATGAGTAGGTTTGATAAGTGACATAAAAAATAATTAACAATAAGTCTTAAAATTGGGGAAATAAATAAACAACAAAATTAGCACTGAAAAAAAATGAATATAGGTATTGCAATTAAAAACAATAAAATTCAAGAAATATTGTTGATAGGTGGTTGGGAAACAAGAGTTGTAATATAAAATTAAAATTGCGGCTAGTCGAGCTTCGAATACACTAATAATGTATATTTGAAGCTAGCTTGGTGTTATAATGCATATGCTGGGTCGGGAAACAGCTATAGCTCGCACCACCACTGAACATAAATCTGAAATTTACATAAATGAAACAAATCGTCCAAAACAGAGAAACGAAAAAACGGAGTATGTCAACAATATAGGCATCTGTATAATAAATTATACTACAAGCAGTGAAACCTATATATTATACAATATACGACGACACTCGACGACCTCGGGGCAACGCATTTTCAATTTGTTTTATTGTATTACACAATCTCATTAGGTACATTTAATACCATCGGTTTTTTTTAACGAGAATACGACTACCGCTGTTTCGTACAAATGTCTTTCGGAGATGACGACTATAATATAACCATAATATTATTTTTACTATTGCTATTATTTAGTACTACGCTGGGCGGCGGACAAATACATAAAAAGTGATTGTTACGTGTTTCTCAATAATATTGATTTTTTTATAGATGCTTTGTATATTTACGATACGACTAAACGACTATCTAATATTGTCAATTGATCTTCAGGACAGCGTATCGTAGATAAACGACATCCTTAATACCGCATTGGATCATTATACTATTTGACGTATTTGGTACTTTCTAGTTTCTGATAATAATGACTAATGAGTAGTAGTAAAAAATAAAAACTAAATAATATACAATGAGTACCTACAAATATTCATGTACTATTCGTCTACATAATCGTTAAAAGTATGTGTCTTTAAAAATTATAATAGGCACAAGATAGTAACTTATTATAAAAAAAAATAAACCGGAATTAAAGATATTTAAACGATTCGTTTTAATTAAATTAATACTATATTTACCATGCACGTAAAATGCTTACGGTCGACAGCGATGACCGCGACATTATGAAAAAAATAAAATAAAAAAACTTGATTACGCGTTTTCCTTTTCAACTCGTCATTGTGCCAGTGTCACTTTATGTATAATATAATTGCCCTTCAGTGCCAATTTATGTTACGTTGCACAACCTGTAATATAACAGAATGATATTAATTATTAATAACGACAGTACCTACCTCGTATGGCTATTAATTATAACTAAAATTACTCCATTTCCAATAAATCGTGACATTAATCGTTTAAACAGTTGTCGAAATCAAAAGTTTTATAAGTATCATTCTAATATATTTAATATCGGGCTGTTAAGTTTACGCGAGATAATATATCCTCTTCCATCGTTTCCATTGTTATATGTAGGGCACGGATGATGTTGCATTTGCAACTTTTTTTCTACTTTTTCAATTAATTGCTAAGTAAGTTTTAAATACGTTTCATGTAAGTACGAATTCAAATCTAAAAGTTTAAAGTGCAATTTTTTGCAATTTTTGGGATTTTTTCAATTTTATTGCAATTTTGTCGAATTTACTCATTTATACAACTATTTTAGCAATATTTTACATTTTTACACATAACGGTCGTATGGATAAGATTATACCATAATATCTAAGCCATAAAACACAGTAATAGTGGTATCTTATCGAAATAAAGATAAAATCAAGTCGATAGGTATTTAATACAATAAATGTAATAGTGGTATCTTATCGAAATAAAGATAAAATCAAGTCGATAGGTATTCAATACAATAATTTGTGAAATGTGACTGACTGTATAATCTGTTCTTCAGTCACTCCGTGAATTTTGAACGATTGTGTTGTTACAGTGTTAAATAATATGCCGAAAATTAAACCAACTATTTCTACCGTTGTTAAAAATTACGTGTTAGAATTTGGAGAAGATGTATTTTCGTGTGATGAATCCGTACTTTTTTGTAAATTGTGTGAAACAAAAGTAAGTGCTGAACGGAGGTATACAGTTACACACCATATTGAAACTGCAAAGCATAAACGGGCAGTTAATCGAAAAAATAACACCAAAACCTCTACATCGCAACTTCAAGTAACGTCATTTTCCAAAAAATCAACATTTAATAAAGATTTGTGTAAGGCAATGTTATCCGCCAATATTCCATTACATAAAATCAATAACGATGATTTTCGTTTATTTTTGGAAACATATATGAAAAGAGATATTCCGAATGAATCTACATTGCGTAAAAATTACGTGAACGAAGTGTACTCAGATACGTTAAATAAAATAAGAGACAATATAAAGGGAAATAAAATTTGGGTCTCAATAGATGAGACCACAGATGTTAATGGGAGATATGTGGCTAACGTTGTGATCGGAACACTCCAAACTGACCAACCAGGAAAAGTGTATTTATTAAATACAGAAGTTCTCGATAAAGCAAATTATTCAACAATTACCAAATTATTCGATAAATCAATGTTCCTTCTTTGGCCGGATGGTATTCGTCATGATGACGTTTTCCTGTTTCTTAGTGACGCAGCTCCATATATGATAAAAGCAGGGACTACAATTAAAGCACTCTATTCAAAAATGGTGCATGTCACATGTTTGGCCCATGGCATGCATCGAGTTGCAGAAGTCATACGCGGAAAATTTCCTGAAGTAGACAAACTCATTGCTAAAATTAAACAAATATTTTTAAAAGCACCAAGCCGAACTATTCTTTTTAAAAATAAAGTACCAGATACACCATTACCACCACAACCTATTATCACGCGTTGGGGTACGTGGCTTGAGGCTGCATCATACTACTGTAAATATTTTAATGAAGTGAAAAGTGTAGTGCAAGAACTTGATCCTGATGAAGCCGTTTCAATAAAAATATCACAAAATATTTTTAACCATAATTCAACTTCAGCTGATTTAGCATTTATTCACTCAAATTACGGATTTTTGCCGGACGCGATTTTAAAATTAGAAAATCAAGGACTATCGGTAGTTGAAGCCATTAATATAATTCAAAATGTTCAAAATAAATTAGAAAATGTATTTGGTGAAATCGGGATTTCAATCCATGAAAAATATAAGATAGTTATTGAAAAGAATACTGGACTTAAAACCATTATTAAAATCAATGATATACTAACTGGACAAAGAAAATCGTTCGATGGTTTACCCGAAGACTTTACAGTTAGCGATTTAGCTTATTTTAAATACGCTCCGCTCACATCAACCGACGTAGAACGAAGTTTTTCGAGATATAAGAACTTACTAGCTCCAAATCGAAGAGGATTTGATTTCGAAAATTTAAAACAAACACTTATAGTACAGTGCAATGATGTATAATATAATAAATTTATAATGGCATGATTATAATGTAATGTATATATTTTTTTTTGATTATTTAAAATTTTAGATTATAATTTATAACAGTAAACTTAAAACATTTATAACAAAACGTTGTTATTTTTTAGTGCAATTTTTAATATTTTAAGTGCAATTTTTGATATTTTTTAGTGCAATACTGCAATCAATTTTACTATTTTTTTAGTACTACAACATCCGTGCCCTAGTTATATGCAAAGTTCTCCAAAAACCGAGTTTGGCTATATTTTGTAAGTACACAAATTTATTAAATTTATTTGGCATTAGTATACTAAATATTAAAACGATCATACAATTAAACTTTTATTATTTTACTCGTGATATTATGTTTGTTTTGTTGTACACTTGTACAATAAAACGGAGTAATTGTCAAATGTATAGAACGACCACGAGCGCAGATAATGTTATTAATATTTAATAGGTACGTAAAAATAGAGAAGAAATTTAACTGAGCTCCATTCGACAATTTCATAAAAATATGGAGAGAAAAAACATTTAATCCAATTTTTTGCCGTACTACGCTCATAATAAATACATAATATTATTTTATACTCGTACTATAGTATAACTGGTGTATACAATTATACATTTAATTTTTGGGCTAGCGCTTTATAGGTACTACCAGAGCAGTATTTCGGCGACCCCTGCAGCTGCAGCGAACACTTCACATAGGTATAATTATATATGTATATATTTTGTATATGTTATTATACCAAGTATATATAGGTACCTACCTCCTTCGTATATTATATACGGGATACCGCGGTCTCGGTAAAAGGATTAAAAATATCGAACATGTGTTGCCCGGCATAAATAATATCCGAAAAGCGAAATGCCGCGGGCGGGAAAAGTTTGCGCACGAACTTAATGGCGACTTGACCACAGCGTTTCGGCGGAATTCGCACACTGCACCAGTCCCGGGCCCAGTTCTCGGGATATACGCGTCGCACCCTGTATGCATATATGTTCGGTGCTATATATTATAATATATATTATGCTCGCTCCTTATTGTCCCAAAGTCAAGTCGGTCAGTGCTAGTCTGTGTGTGTGTGTGTGTGTGTGTGTGTGTGTGTGTGTGTGTGTGCGTGTCCGTTAATATTATGTACATCCGCGCACAGCGTTTGTATACGTATTTGCAGCGGGCCGCCGCCGCGTAATTGTCCGAAGACCGCGACCAAATTTATCGGGTCCGCCGCCTGCACTTAATACTTAACCCCTTTGCCAGTAAGTCCGCCGCGTGCTATCGATTTCTCTCTGCCCGCGAGAGAGTCGTTTCATAGAATATATGCACATATAGGTTTATGACACTATTGAGCGGTGTGTTGTAATCTATACTATAATATATTTTTTTTTGTATTAAATAAATAAGCCTCGGCATCTATGGCCATTAGCATACAAGGTAAAGATTCTTAAGATGTAGTGTTTACATAAGATTTATACAGTATTTATAAGATTGGTCTTGATTAAAAAAAGCATCATGAGACTTATGCTGTCTGGGTGTAGGGCTTCCGACAGGATATTCGATACCATACTATAATATTATATATGACTGTAAATGCATTTTTTGAGTTGGCTAATATTAAAATATAAGTCTAATGATTAAATGATCGAATTTTTTTCATGACGTGTTCTTACTACAATCTTGCAAACGTTTAGGCTAGATACTTTTAATCCCAAAATTTAACCATTAAAGTTGTCTTTAAAATTGAATATTTTATTTAAATATAGGGTTGCCATAAGTTACAAAAAATAAAATAGTAATTTTGAATGGAGGATACTTATAGTATTTTTTTTTCATAGAAACTTGATATTATAACTTATACGCATTGTTTTTGAGGATATATTGACCTCATGATCAATATTATAATCGCCACCTGTCCTTGCGAAATCTACTATAACATGATAAAAAACATCGTTTATACGACAATGATGCTTTTGAAAATTGACTATTGTGCTTGTGCAATTTTTAGGTTATCATTTTATTTTTTAACCTTGCATAATATGAAAATTATTCAAATTGTATTTATAATTGTGATTGTTAAACTTACTGTATATATTATATAATAGTATTGCAAGAAAAAACGGTAAACGATAGATGGTCTGATTGATTATAATCCGGGTGGAGACTTCAGCTTTTACCATACGAGTATATTAAAATATATTGGTACTTATATATAGTTTACCAAAATAAATTAAAATATTTATTAACATTTAAAAAAAAAATCAATGTCTCTAACGCTATAAATACGATGCTGTATGTAACTTATATTATAGAAAATGAAACTCTCAAATGTATATATACACACGATTATTGACTATATGGATAAACAATTATAAATAGTAAAACACATTTTAAAGCTTATAATTTTTTTCTAATACTTTTTAAAGAGTCCGAAGTAATCAATTTTATTAAATTTACAATTTAAATACTTTTTCAAATTAAAACTAATACAAGGTCTCTTTTTCAGTACATAGCTTAAGAAGCTTGGTAAACTTATTTTGTAGAGGCTTCAGTACTAACAATATTTTTTCATAACCTATATTATTTATTTTAATAAAATATAGGTGCATAATTTATTTAAAAAAAACAGGAATTACAAAAATCCCTTTGTTCGTTACATTTTAAAGGAAATTCAAATTTTTTAATAAACAAATATTTATAATTTTTTTTCAATTATTCCAACTTCTGAAAGACAATAATTCAAATTTTATTTATACGAGCATATGATATCAAGGAAGTTAGCATATTTAAGGTAAAACATTCATAAAGTTTGAGAGTATATATAACAACTTTTTAGTAGTTGTACGAAAAAATATATTTTCAGCGGGTATAAAACAAAAATATTTTAAATTATTATTAGGAAGAGGAAGGATATATAGGTATTTAAAGTTATCGTCCGACCGTGGGGTATATTATATATATATTATATGTGGAAACAGGAAGTTGAGCTTCCTAGGTTTGAATATATGCGAACCATCTCTTTGCATAGGCGTGGCCCCCCTTTTTTTCTACAGACACAGTATAGGGGAAGAGTATAAAGAAGGCAAAAAAACCGGAAGTGACGTTTATTATGACCTCAACCGACGATGATGTGCAATTAAATTTATGTGCCGAGACCACCCACTGAAAGGGGACCATCAAACGGCTTCTACACTGGCTTATATAGACAATACCTCAGACTTTTGTATAAGTAAAAAATAATAGTAATAATAATAATAAAACAAAAACTGAGTGTGCAAATCCCCCTAACTTATAATACAATTGACACGTGGAGGGGGAAATCTGTTTAACCTTATATAAAACATTAAAAAATTAATTTCTGAGAAAAATTGAAATGAAATAAAAATTAGCTAAATTTTACTATTTTATTTAAACTATAACTAAGTACCTATGTAATATGTATATAATATATATAAATACGTTATTTTTGTATATTATCTCATATTCTCATAGATATATTTTTAAGAACGAAGTAAATAATAACTTTGAAATAATTATGATAATTAATTGTTACATTCATTAATTTATTGTCTCTTCGAAGTTTCAATTAAAAAATATTTTTTATATTCATACCTACATCAATAAGTAACGTGGTGTTGTCTGAGTTACAAATACGATAGTGGTCTATTGAAAATGACTATTGCTGCCCCTTCATCCAATGAGAATATTAATCGGAAGGGGGTCTGATTAATTTGGAGTGATTTAGTCATTATGTCTATATGAAACACATGCCACCCTTGTTGCAAAATTAATTTCACATTTGTCATAGTAAATATGATATCATGTATGCAACCCTAATAGCACTTTAGGCTACAAGAATATATACATAGCCACATAGGTTATTATATATTATAATATGTCACTAAAATAATACTATACCATTATGTTTAGCTTATGATTCGTATAATAAATATATAGTAAAGTAACGATTTACAAAGAACATTTAAATAGGGCTGTATATTGAAACCAGTCGTATTACTATACTACTAATGTACTATGATAGTAATCAGGTACATTCACAATGCGTTCACAAAATTTCATTTCGTATATTTATGAAGTTTAAATAATTAAATATATATTTCTTTGGCCGAGGGTCTACTCGCGCATATATTATTCAGGCGAGATAATTTTGCAGGTTTTATACTCACGTACGAAGTACACATATAATATTTTCATATTGAATCGCAATTACAAAATTTCACATGCCATAATAAGACGAATACTTAGGTATAGTATTTATTACAAAACTATTCTGTAGTACCTATTGATTTTCTAATAAGAATCATAAACTTCATTATGATATATTGGTGATATTTAAGCATTGGAAGATTCCTCACCATCTTAGTTCACATTAAATGACAATCAACTAATCAAGATAGAAAGGTGCTCAATATTTTATTATTGTGTCCTGGATAAGAGAATAGTAGAATTAGTCCACACATGGAGATGAATAGGTGAACTGTTAGTTATTCTGTGATCCAAGTATAATATAGCGGAAACTCAAGATTTATCTTATTCTATTTGTTGTAAGCCACCATCATAAAGGTTAAAATAAAAACTTATATATTACAGTATCACAACATATATCTAGATTAGCAGAATTTTCACATTTTATTCGCTTATTAGCAAGTGCATACTGTAATTAAATAATTATTAGAATCTATTTTTTCCTAAGAAAAATCAACTATACTCTCTAGTGTTTATTGTACATATCTTAAAACAAATTTTATATTAAAGAACTACAATTTATTTCATTACTGAATAATATTAGTTTAAATAATAAGTTTAAATTTTGACATATTCTGTGATACATAGAAACTTCATATTAACGAGTATGAGGCTATTTTACTATTCTATGTTTAAAAGAAAGTTATCTTTTGAAAGAACTGTGGATAATGGATATAGATATTGTATTTAAAGTAGAACTCGGAGACCAGACGAGGGAGGCGTGTTGTAATAAAATTGAGTGGAGCTCAATAAAAAA